AGGTACGCACGTCGTTACGATGCTTGCATAACCGTTTCCCTGAAAAAGGATTTGGACAATCCAAATTTAAATCGCTTCCTGCCGCGTCATTAACTCTTGATGATCCAAGTAAAAGATACATGCGACTCGATGCTTGTGCTTCCTATCGTCGTGATTACGGCAATATAAATCGCGATAGAACTGATTACGGCTCTAAAAATATTTATGTACCTGATTTCCGTGTAATTGTACATAAATATCAAACAAATATCGTACGCTTCTGTAAATTAAATTCATGTAACATAAATCAATATAATATTTAAGATCGTAACATTCGTCGTATAAATGCGAATTAAAGTAGGTATAATATCGTATAAAATAAAACACGAATTTTATGTTGCTCACGCGTGCAAGTTGTCCGAAACGAGGCAACTTTACGGGTAAATAATTTATAAATGAATGAAATAAAATAAAAATAAAAACGCTACGAATTAATTCCAACACCTAATACATTAATAAATTTCACAATTAATATTATATATAAATTGTTATAATACAATTGATTTTCATATCGTAAGAAGAGAAAGCCAGAACAAATCTCTTTTGTACCTTATTATACATCAAATTTCTATTCCAATTACTTTTACTGCAACACATCGATCATTGAAATGACTAAAAGAACAGAGCGATGGCAAGACTATTCCGAAGAGAAATAACTAATTACGACACGATGACGTATGTGTATTCAAATTCAATAGTGCGCACCTGCTTATATTTTATAAAAGCTACGCTACACAACCTGAAAATTGTTTGCTATGACATAAAAAATAACAAGGCGAACACACGTCGTTTAACGAATAATTATTAGCTGAATGTATATTTCCGACAAAAATATAAAAAATAAAACTAATATACACAGAAAAAATAAGTTTGCTGAAGTATCTAAAAATTTAGCTAAATATAGATATGAAAAATAATTTTGTTTAAATCATCAAAATAATTATATAGGATGTTCAAGCTGGTTGCTAGAATGTCAAAACTTTTTGCAGCATTTCTCATCATGGTTGAACTTCCTGCATAATTATCTAGATGGTAAACAAAATAATTTTCAACAAAAAATAATTCGTGCCTTGAAATTTTGCTAAAGTGCAATATAGGTATCGTTCTCGTATATTCAGTATAATATACTTAATATGGATTTGTGAAATCAGCATGCCCGCTCCCCCTTCCCCTTTTTCCCATTCTATTGATATAAAAAAATAACAGTCCGTTAACACTCTTTTCATAATTCTACAATTCCGTGTTAAAATAAAAAACAGTTTCGCATTTTTTACATTAAAAAACTAAAATTAGTACTAGTTACTGGAACTGTAGAATTAAGAAAAGTGCTACTGGAACTATCATTATTTTTTTATATTAATAGAATGTCTTGCTAACTTCACAGATCCGTTTATTATCGTAATATGATGTCTTGTATTATTATACTAAGAAAAATGTTGGATATAAAAAATTGGATATAAACATTATTTTGTTCATATGTGACTAGAAATTTTCTTATTTTTCAATTAAAAAGTTGTATTTTGATCAAAATTTGATTACAATAGAAAATTTCTATAATATCTGGTTAAAATAAAAAATCTATATAAATTATATACTTTTTTTTATTTTTTAATTACAAAAATAAGAAAGTATTTATAAATCAAATATCAAATATAACAAATTAATGCATATCAAACATTTATAATTGCTAAAATTATCATCAATATTCGATAGGAATGTATTGAGGAACTGCACGCATCACACGCGTGCTAGACACTTTCTAGCGTGGACGTAAACATGAGAGCAACACTAGCAACTGCTGCTGCGACAACGAATTCAACAGGTGGATCCGTGGCGGATAAATTCCATGCGAATACCACGGATTCCTTTGGTACGGGCGCGTCGTCTCCTGGGACTTTCGCGGCCGAAGAAAATGCCGATCAACCGATGTGTTACCTCAACACGCTAACCACTTTTCTCCTCTCTCTTTTTTCCTCTTTAATTTACTTGAAAAATTTCATACATTTTCACTACACTACTAGGAAAAGAGTGATTGCATTAATTGGCATTCTGGTTGAGAATGGAAAAATCAGAATTTTCTAGCAGAATCTATTATCAAATTCTATAAAGCCAGAGCCAAATCAGCAGAATCAAATCGAATATCAGAATTTTTAGTACTCATTTTATAAAAATAATATCAGAAATCAATAAAATTGAATTTGTATTATTTTGTACTACCAAAAACAATTCTATATTATGTATCATTTTCTAGAAAACAGTGGCTAGTTTAATATTTAAGATGGTAGGATCATAAAAAAAAACACAAGGGCAAAAATTATCACAACTGAATTTGTACTAATTTGTATCATTGAAAGTAAGTTAATATTTTACATATTTCTTCCTTATAAAATGACTTTATTAATATATACTTACATTAATATATATACTTACTTAATTTATGAAACATTTTACGTCAAACAGAGTACCTTTGAAACATCGTCATTTTTATTTGTTTTTTTTTTTAATTTGCTAATATATTCTACAGATAAAAATATGAAACATGTGTTTTATGAGAAAAATTTAAGATTTTTTTGTGAGATTATTCACACTTGCAAGTTGCAGAAATTCATAAAAAACGTCGCTCATGCGAACTTTCAAATTATTATATCGAAATCATTAGTCGTATAAAAAAATGCAAGAGACCGATTTAAAAAATCTTAAATTGTTCTATGGATGGATTATTTTTAATTTATAATTTTCCATTTATTTATAATATTTATTAATATTTTTTATCATTAACTCACCAATTGAAAAATTTTGTAAAAATATCATCGTTCAATTAACTCTGAAAATTTCAAAATGAAACTCGAATGGATTGTATAGTAAACATGCAAAATATTAACTTACTTTCAACGATATAAATTAGTAGAAATTCAGTTATGTTAATTTTTGTCTTTGAGTTGTATTTTTTATGATTCTGCTAGCTTAAATATTAAACTAGCAGCAACTTTCACTATTTTCTTGGAAAAATGACACATAATATAGAATTGTTTTTGGTAATACAAAATAATACAAATTTAATCCTATTGGTTTCTGATTTTTTTCTTTTTATTTTGAATTGGTCCTGTCAGCTTAATATTAAAATCGTGGCAGCGCTTTTAATTTGTTTATCATCAATCAACAATTTCCTCAGTATACAGAGTTAAATAAAAATATATGAAAAACAAATACAAGAAAATTTTTACTTTATCTACAAGAAAATGTCACCAAAGATAGAAGAAAAGTCTTTTCCCTATTATTGGAACTGTAAATCTTCTGGATTGGTTTGCAAGATAATGAAATGTTATCTACACTGTGAAAAATTTCTGAAAATGGACGAACCAGAAAAAATTCCAATTATATCAAACAGTTATCTCAAGTTATTTTAGTTATCAACTAGAATTATAACAGATTCAACCAGGAAATTCTGATTTGTCCATTTTAACCAGAATTTCAATTAATACAGACATGAATTTTTTCGAAAGTACTGAATTTACTCGTCCATAATGCAATTCGCATTACTTTCATGTGCCCGAATTTCCAATTCGCGAATTTGAATGTACATGTATTTATATTTAAAAAATCGTTGATAATTTGTGTGTGCTAGCCACTCAATACTTTGTTACTTTTATAATTCGAATTTGTAATTTGTGCCAACACAAATATTTACTCCGAATAATCATATCTCATTAATAATTATCTTTCGAGAAAAGCTCTTAAATTATTTTAAGAATACCAATCTTTCATTTATACATGCATTAGAGGAAAAACAATTTATTTACCATTATGCACATACATTTTGCGACAATAATTTCATCTATGTAAAAATTATTAATCAATTATAATTAAAAAAATGTACAAAGTTCTGGAATGTGTATAATGGAAAAAATATGATATTTTTAGTTTTTATTTTCTGATTAATTAGTGATTAGACTTAATCTAATAATATAAAAATTGTATTTTTCTAGCTATGGTTAATCACTAAATTAATAATTTTGTAGTAACTTAAAGTTATTACCACTACCAAACCAGCAGTTTAAGCAATTAATCATGGCTAAAAAATACAATTTTTACATTATCATCACGTTAAATCTAAATCACAAGTTAACTAGAAAATGAAAAAACTCTGAGTTTATATAGAAGTATCACATTTTTTTCTCCATTATACATTTTTCCATTATACATGCATCAAAGTAAAAACAAACCGTTTTTCAACATTGTACTTACATATTCCGTAACGATCCAAGTAAAATTTAATAAATTCTGACAAGTTAAAATTTAAAATGAATATCAAGTAATTTAAAAATTTTTTTTTAAATGCTTGTATATATTAGGTGTTGGAATTAATTCGTAGCGTTTTACAAGTGATGGGAAGTACTTTCATTAATGTATTTTTTAATGCTCATGTGAAATAAATAACATTCTTTCATTAAAAACGCTACGAATTAATTCCAACACCTAATAATATAAGTACATTTATAAAAAATGTAGCAACGTTTTATTGCTAGCACATTTCTTTATGTTTTACTTTTGTCCACTTCAATGTATATTAAGTAATTACAATAGTTAACTATAGAAATCAACTATATAAATTTTGTTGGAACGATAACAATTACAAGCATAAATTTCGAATATTCAAAAGAAAGACGCAAAGCGGACAAATTATATTTCTTGATCGCGATTCAGAAAATTATCATGTTTAAAAATAAAAAAAATTAAAAATAATTAAATCCGACAGATTTCAATTAAACAAAGTCAGCAATTCACTTAGGCATATAAAATTCGGTTTATATGTTTTGATTTTATAAAGAATCAGTCTATCTCTAAAACTATATTTTTAGAAAAAGTTTAAAAATTCGATACAAGACAATCGCACATTTGGAACATCTATAAAGTCAACGATAACAAGAGAAGAAAGAAAAAGAAGCTGGAAGCGCACTTACCTCGTCAACGGAACAGTTGCTGCTTTCGGAACGATCTTCTACGCTGTTGGGATTCCTCTCCGGCGTCTTGATCACTTTGATGTTCGACATAGTACCCTTGATGACGATGTTGTTCTCCCTGAAATAATCGTCGGCTTCTTGGTCAACCACCAGCAGCTTGGTCTCATTGGCGAACGCCTTGATACGCTCGACCACCTGATTGTGAGTCTCGTTCGCGATGTCGATCTCGTTAACCTCGACTATCCGATCACCCTGACGCAGACCGGCCGCCAAGCTCGGCGAACCCTCGTCCACCTTGCCGATGAACTGACCGTTCTTGCCCTTCTGCGCGTGTAGATTGAAGCCGTAACCATTAAAATCGTCCCACTTGACGATGTGGCAAAGCCGGGCGCACGGCACTTTATCGTCCTTGAAAGAAGACATCGCGTCACGTCGGTCTCACTTTCGACGGGACAAGAATAACGACGAAGAATAACGTGCAAGAATCTATCGCCGGATCCACTATCGAACAGCCGGACACCACCACACTGCACCGAGGAACGCGCGAAACGCGAGAGTCACGCGCGATTCTAGACTTCGAGACGAAAAACACCGCAAGGTAACAGACAAACAGAGAGACACGCGCACACGTTCAAACGACGACCAAAGTACGTATGCGAAGCGATACGAAGTTAGCTGCGTTACTCCGATTACTCGGCAGCACTGGCAGCAAACCGAGCAGGCGCGAACGCGAGGAGTGACGAACTGTGCCGAACGAAGCCGAACTGTCGCTGGTCGCTACCGGCCGTGCCTGGCCGTGCCGACTGCCGACTGCCGACAAATGCCGAACCGACCCGACAAATGCCGAATCCGCGCGGCCGCGGCCGTTACGCGCCAACTACGCTGCAGTAAAATTACTATTTTCGATAAATTTTTCCTTTTCTTCTTCCTTCTCTTAACTTCCGCTTCTTTGTTATCATTAATTGCACCCTTCGCGTATCTTAATAGCTTATCGAATTGAATGTTTCTTCTCTTCTAACCAAAAGAGATCAATCAGTTTATCTTGATCGAAAAATTTGAATTTGGGAAGTGCCCGTTCGCCGTTCACGACTTTTCGCGCTTGAGTCGCACTTCACAAATTAATTATTCAACACACAAAGTTTATTTAACACATATATACACGATTCACTCGGAGATTAAAGCTTGTCGACATGTTTCTCAAGCACGAGAAGGAGCGTTCTTGTCGTTCGCGCCTTTTCAAACTTGAATCGCACAGTTCGCACTTTACATGTTAATTATTGTTAATACGATCAACAGTTCATTTAACACGTATATACGCGATTCATGTATGCCACTTAGAGATTATGGTTTGTCGACATGTTCCTCAAGGTGAAATACAGAAAAGAAATTCAAACAATGCGCTGACGAACGAAACGAAATAGAACAGAGCAGAAAGTGCACACGACAGCATAAACGTCGATCGAAGATTATCGTGGCATCAGCAGTTACCTCTCACGGCAGCTCTGCAAAGCTCTACGCTCATGAACGTCGGTTACTTATCTGAAACTAAGTTTATTCTGAATATACCGACAGTAGGTCTATTGCTTGATATTTTATAACATTTCTGCATTTAAAAAAAGATGAATTACACAGGCCGACAAAATTTAGGAGGGTTCTTGTACTTTGAACTTTGAAAAATGTTTCCATAAGATTTTGATGCGCTGAAAGCGACTTGTCCGTTTTTTTTTCATTACCTTCCGTTTTTTAAATAATTGCAAAAACAATTTTTTCTAGAAGTAACTTTTTTATTAATTTTTTCCGGCTAAACAAAAATGATACCAAAGTCAGTTTGGTGGCATTTAACTTAGAAATGTTCCAACAATACTAAAAATATTTTTTCGATGCTTATAAATATGTTTTATGCAAACCGCAAACAAAAAATTTTGGAAAAGTCGTAAAAAATCGGAAAAAATTGACAAATTTTGAAATATAAAACCAAATAATTTGAAAAAAAATCGTAAAAATATCTGACAATTTATACTTACAGTATATACTTACAGCTGTATGTTTCTAGTTTAAATTCTTTTTTGAAAAATTAATTTCCGATCATTTGTTCAAAAGTTATTGAATTTAAAGCGCCAAAGCAGCCCGCGCATCACCTACAGTGCGCGATATTCTGTCGAATCTGACACATAGCCATCGAATACAGGAGCGTATTGTGTGTCTTTTTTAGTTACTGATTTCAAATCTGAAATAAAAAAATGTGCAATTCAAAATGGTGAATCCAATATGGAGAATAAGAATTTTTAAAAATTCGTACATGAAAATCGAAATTAATAAAAAAGTTATTTTCGGAAAAAGCTGTTTTTGCAATTATTTAAAAAACGGAAAGTAATGGAAAAAAACGGACGCAAAAAAACGTAGTTGCTTTCAGCGCATCAAAATCCTATGGAAACATCTTTCAAAGTTCAAAGCACAAAAAGCCCCCCCCTCCCCCTTCAATTTTGTCAGCCTGTGTTATTTATTCAGAAGTTAGAGAAAGAGAAAGCGAAATATATTAAATTCATAAAGTACAAATAACGCGACAGACCTAATAGATAATGTTGAAAATCCATAATTCTCACGTATGCTTTAAATTAAATTTTTAGTAATATTAAGAATTTCAGTAATTTCAAAACGCATTCCAATGCGATACAATTTTTAAAAAATGAATAAATGAAATCGAATTCCTTTATTTAATTCTATATTTCGATACGATTTTTATATTGTTTTCTTTCTTATATTCTGACACATTGATTGTTTTGAATATCCCTCGTTCTTCTATTTTATGGGTATAATACAATTTTAATTAAGAAATCAATATATTATTTCAAAAATTTAAAAACAAATTAAAAAGGATTATGAGCCAAGCAAGATTGTCGTGCTATAAATTTAACAATAAAATATAATCTTCATATTAAAAGTACAAACGTTTCGACTCACATTGAGTCATTTTCAATGTATATACGTACATCAAATCAGTCATAAATCTCAAATCTTCGTGGCTAATATAAATGAGCTCTATGTATCCATTTTAATGTATTCTCTCCTCAATTGATTCACAGTTATTTAATGTCTGAGGAGGAAACAAGCATATCGTTAACAAAGAAATAAATCATAATTAAACAATACATGCAATTTAACAGATACATGCAAAAAAAAATTTTAATTGTTTTCCACAATATTGGCAGACATTTTGTCTTGCTCTTACTGAAACACAATGACATGCTGAACGCAATCATGTTTCTCCCAATTCACATTAATTACTGACACACATTCGACAAGTATATACACTGATTCGGCATTTTTTTCCGCGAAACGCAGACAATGGCATGATAATCGAAATGTAAGGGTGTGATGTAATCACGTCGACGTAACACCGTCAATTTAAGTGGACACGATTACATCATGATAAAAAGCGAGTTGTAAAACTCGCAAACTAACAATAAAATAACACGACAATTAAAGTGGGCGAGCCATCGCGTAATAAAGGAAATTCCTCTGTGTGAGATTTAAGTGTCGAAGATTGAATCTAGAATATTAAAGAATTAAATAAGAAAACGTTGCTTTCATGCAGAACCTCATCTTAATGTTAATATTAAATGAAAAGCAATTATATGAAGCGGCATATCACCTTGTCACTTCCGTTCTTTAGTAATCTTTGCGGGCAATCGCGGTTATAATATAAAGCATAATAAAACCGCTTAGTATAGCTTTGTAACTGTAATCATCTTTTCTGATCTTTCCGCAAACAGATAAATAAGCCTAGCGTTGCATTTATTATAAAGCTTATATTAGATCATTTAAAAAGTATCCGCGGTATGTCAAACAGATAACAAAAGAGGAATCGATCGCCGTGTCTGGTCTCAAGTTAGATTATTTTATATTCAAATTTCGATATTACGATTAATGATAAAATCGACATTCGTGGGAATAATTATTAATTAGTGATTGTATTAGCAGTGATTGTGATAATTTTCTGCACTAATCACAATTAATTGCTGCTTGAATCAATTTTATTAATAGAAATATATTAACATCGCGTTGTGATTCGATTAATAAGAATCCGTTTATTGTATCTAGCCACTCGTATCATAAATTTAAGTTAATGAGGATATAACATAAAAATACATTTAGTATATTCAAATATGTCGGAAAAAGCATGAGACAATGGTTAATTTATATAAAATTTCACGTCGGCAATACGATAAAGTGAACTAAATATTAGAATATACAATCATTTATTTGCAAAAATGATTTCTCTTATTCGAGATATCTATAATTCATTAGTTCAAACTTTTAAACATAAATTGAAAGTTTTTAAATAAATAATTTACTATTTAGATTCTAAAACAAATCTGAATTCTAAAAGGAATTAGGAAGTTAATAATCATTGCGTTTATGCGTTAGTATTAATAATGTTCTTATGTTAATAACGATGTTTACTCGCTTTGAGGTCAAAAGTCGCGCTATAGTATTATCATTTATATCATATGTATTATAAAATCCAAAACACACGAAGCGTTTCTCATGATTGTAGCAGATTCTTATCAATGCGATGATCGCAGGCTGCGAATAGGTTAATTAAAGCTTCGTTCAGGATATGGTTAATCACATGTATAAGAGATGAATGAGAAATCTGCAAGTATGAAGGCCAAAGCATGCAATTAAAACTAATGTACATGTATATTTTAATGCTATATTTGCTTGATGCATTTTCTTTTCTTGATACATTGCATACTCAAGGCTGAATCTATAGTAAAGTCACCTATCCAGATGAGAAGAATGTTAATTATAAGATTAATTTAAAGAATAGTAATTATATTATAAAATTTAATTTAAAAAGAATGTTTATTATATTAAAAGATAACGTAATAGCTGCAACTAATAATTATAATGTGGATTCTTTAATTAATATGATTGATTCCTGCTTTTAGTTCCTCACTAAATGTATTGGGTCATCTAAAAAGTATCCGCGGTACTTTGTCACTAGCTATATGACCATCAACACACATCTAGTGACAAAAAACCGCGGATACTTTTTAGATGATCCAATATAAATGAATTATATTAAAAAAAAAACTTTACAGCAGCTACAAACTGTTCCACTAAACGCAGCCATAAATTTTATAATTTAAAAACTCGAATTTTTACGCGCGGTCGGCGCAGTGAAACATCGTGAAGATAGCTGCGCAATGGATCCCGTTCAGTCCACAGTGTCCACCTGGCGCGTCAGTCGCACCGCACCGCGCACGACAGTCGGCGCTGATCGCATTGCGCAGCGACACGCACCTAGCGGTTGTTCGAGTTCGAAGGTGCGGCGCGCGCCGCGATACGTTAGATACGTACAGTGTACACTGTACAGTCGCAGTCGTCGCGAAGCAAGGTAGCGAGGAATGTGGTGAATGTTCGTCTGCCGACGTGATTGGATATTGGACGTGATTCCCGGTTCTCAGAGTGCGGACGTGTAGACTGTTCGAAGTCGAGCAGGCGCGAAGGCTGCGAGCTGCGAGCGAGGCGGTTGACGACCAGTGCGCGAGACACGGCCGCGTGATGCGAACGTTTTCTTCGTAGCGCGTTGCGCCTCGCGAAAGCGTCGTCGTGATCGTCGTCGCGAAGAATCAGACGAGTGCAACGACAGCGAGTCGGCGAGCGCTAGGATTTCGCCTTGCCAGCAGCAGAAAGAAGTCCAGGAAG